CCCCCCCCCCCAATATTCGTCGGCTCGGGACATCCCTGATTACATCGTAATCATATGTTAAGATCGATAAGATTTAATTGAACAAGTTAAAATACTTGCAAATATATATCAAAGATCGAATCGAACTGGGTTTTTCTGGATGGAGTTCGATTCGGTTCGACTTTATTTTATTAGGGTGTGGGTATGAATAAAGATATCTCGACATCCACGCCCGACTCACAGCCACACCCGTCCAATGTTAGTAGATCGTGCTTTTGACATTTTACGTGATTTTCGAAATACTCGTACATATAATGGTATTAAAATAAAAAATTTACAAGGTATATTAGTTATTAAATGTTGAAATACACGCGATTCGAAGGAATGGGTGCAATATTTATTAAATTTAACTAATGAAGCAAAGATTTTATAAGTACAACAGCACAGCAAGTCGCTTTAATGTGGGTATTAGCTTATTGGTGAAAACAAGATTATTATTTATTAGCATTTAAATTATATTATATATGTCTATAGATTTATTAATGGTAAATCATATATGGAAGTCGTAGCTAAAGCTCTTTTAACAGCTAAAGAAGAAGTTTTTATTACTGATTGGTGGCTTTCATCAGAAATAATGTTAATAAGATCAACAGATGACGAAACATTTCGACTCGATAATTTATTAGGAAAAATAGCTGTAAATTTTTTATTTTTATTTAATATAACTAAATAATTTTTATTTAAAGAATAGGATGGTGTTGGCGTATATGTAATGGTTTTGAAAGAAGTTTCATTTGGTATAGGTTTAAATAGTTTACATACAAAACGAGCATTGATTGATAAAAGTAAAAAATGGGTTTTTCCCTGTAACCATGTATTGAAAAATAGAAAGAAAGAAATTGAGATCTCGAATAAGCTTGACCTTTACGAATATTTATTAGGTCTTTTTAGTATCGTTATCAATATGAATGAAGAAATGTGAAAAAACTAAAAATGCTGTTAGAAATAACTGCAGAAAAGGAAATAACATGTAGCAAAGAAAGCGTAAAAAATTAGAAGTTAATACGACAACTATAACTAAAAAAGTGGCTGAAAAGCCGCCGAAGACCACAAATAGTCTTTCTTATTTGTTCAATACTTTCGTCCTGATTTTTATTCTTCATTGAATAATTTTATTTAATTTAGGTTAATATCTTCTTGCTAATTGATCCATGATGTTCTGCTGATTTCTTCTCGTATTGACATGTGTTTGTTTTGTTTCTATACTTGAATAAACACTTTCTCTCTATTTAGTTTGTGTTTTTCTATTGATTCATACGTTTATTACTTTACTTTCTCATAGCTTTTTACTTTGATTTTTTTATTATTTATCCGACAATTATATCATCTTCCTAGATTTATTCAACTTTTCATCGTTTTTATTGTCTGTCGCAACAGTATCGGTATGTTCCAATTATTCTGTTGCAAATTATTCATCTTTCTTTTTAGTTCTTCGTTGTTCATTTGATCATGTTTGTCCATCTTTATCCATTTGATCATATTCGTTCGTATCAAACTTTTCCATTCATATTTGATAAATTTCATCTATTTAGAAACATGACTGATTCATCAATATTCATTACAGTTGGTGTTGAAGGTTCAATAACAAATAACAATTTTCAATTTGTCTTAAATGATCAACATGCTTTATTGATGTCTGAACTCTCGGAAGCGTTTCCAGGTGTCATTGGTCTTAAATATCGTGATGCAGAATCCGACCCATGGAATTTGTAAGTTTCTATCTCCTACCTTCATAGTACATTTTGAGGGTAATACTTTGTCTTTTCTTCATCAATCGATGTATATTACATCCAATTTACTATTGATAAAGTAAAGTTCAGTCAATTATATTATGTAACTTTAGCAAAAAAAGCAAAGCTAGTGACATTCAGATGCTGTATTTCATTATAACAAGGATAAAATTAAACAACTTTACTTATTTTACGATTTTCTTTTAGAAATGTGCAAATTTTCTAAAAAAGGAAATTTCTACGATTTCTTTTTTTGGAAATCTGTCCATTACTGTTAAAGTTTCATCATTTCCATATCTAATCTATGGAAAACCTATTAAAATTGATATTTGCCTAGTTTCAGAACAATTTTAAAAAATGACCAAATAAAATATGAGGTTAGATATAAAAAAAAATTGATTTTTCTTTTTTTTATTTCAATTACCAACTTTCGATACGAAACTATGATCATCAGGCAATAAGGACATGATAAAAAACAAAGACAAGTTGAATGATTAGTTTAAAATGAAATGAATCATCTAATATCTAAATTGAATGGTTTCATCTGTTCAAAACATTGATTTTTAACGTAGCTTGTCTCTTTTTCGTTAGATATATTTTTTACCTGATGATGAACATGAAAACTTATTCAAAACGTGTAATTAAAATAGGAAAAATATATATCTTGTTGCATTTAATGCCATATTTCTATTCGTTACGAAAGCTATTCAAACCTCCAAATTGATAAATAACATAATATTTCCATCTTATTTGCATATTCCCCACAAACAGGGTCAAAAATTATCCATGTTGGTACAGTGAGTTGAAGATTATTCGTCCGCCTCTGCTCTATTGTTTTGTTTTCTGCAATGGCTAAAAACTAAACCAAATTGTATATCTTCATACATACTATAGAGCAGAGCTTGTCGATAATCTATGTGCAAAGACTTCGACGTTTTGAGTTATTTTCGTTCGGTTTTTTGATCAGATAGCAAGTTAGGGTGGACAAATCATTTTTCGGTTTACTGTAGTACTGGGGTTAAAGATGACGTGTCTCACTCCTATCAAGTTTGTTTCTAGTTCTTTTGCATGGTGAAGATAAATTGTGATGTTTCTCTTTAGATTTCAAAGAGACTCAATTCTCATGATACTTTCTTCCTATTGTAGAGTAGCCAACAAAGATGCTGATGATAATTTAAAACCGGACGATTGGGATACATGGTATTTCAATATGGTTTACGTGCCGCTTTATCCAATATGTACGATTTTATTATTTAAACATGCACTAAAGCTTAAACGTTCGAGTTTTATCTTTCGAGGTTAATATAATATAAAAAATGGTGAAGGTCTTACCCAAAGATCACTAACTCGTGTAATATGAAAATTATATCTTACGCTCTAAAATGATTAAGTTCCTTGAACTATATATGCGAACTATCATTCAACTATTCTAGATTTCTCGAGGAAGACAAGACAGAGCTTGTATTCCACGAATCCTCGCGAATTTTTCACGAGCTATTATGAATTCTGAAGGCTATGGTAATCATTAGGAACCAATATTTTCCTTCTTATCACACCGTATAAGCTTGTGATAACTTCAGTACCTATATTTTTACTTTCGTATCGGTTCCATCAGTTCGATACACATAGACATTTTTTCGTTCCATCGGTTTTTATATTGTAAATCTGTTTGTGTATCGATTTTCACAAGTAAAATTAGTCAAAAGATGCGGAGTTCTCAAACTTCCATATATATCAAAAATCATTTTGTCTCTTAGGGATTCCTCGGAAATCAGGAACTTATCCTCTGGTCATTATTGTGAATAGTATTGTCACATATCCACGAAATCATGAATGTGAGAAATATACCTGGAGAAGCGAGGATAAGCTAGATCAGGTAGATGACAGTGTGGATGATGTTCTCATCTTCTCTAGAGCTCAAGTTAAAGATATGCTATTTGTATGGAACATGCGAAATTTCCTGTTGGATATGCGTCTTCTTGATTGATCAAATGCTAAAAATTAAAAAACCCAGAAGATGACGCAGGATCACTTTATTGCCTAGGAAGACGATAACAGTTCCAAGCCTATTTCTCCAAGATATGAGATCATATCCGTCACACTGATCCTTTCTCTAATTATTTTTCATCTTCCGATACATCTCATACGTATTCGATTTCGTAGATATGTGACATTACTTCGTCTGAATTTCATTGATTCCAAATTATTCAATCCTTTTTGTATCAGAAGCACGACAAGTACAAGTACTTTTAGTAAATTACAAAAGAACTGCTTCAAACATAATTATCAAGGAATGATCGATGTATATTGTAAAGTCGATTGTAAGAGAATGAAAACATGAATGAATAAAAGAGAGCTTTTCTATGAACTTTACCATTGAAGTCTTGAACTGTTATTTTTGCGAAGAGTTTCAATCAGGTTTCAATACGAGCGAAAGGAACAGTTGAGCAAAAAGAGTTCTTTGAGCGCTGTGAAGTACTTCGCTGAGTCCTTTGCTTGATCATTGGTATGTATGTAATACATTTTTATCATGTTTAATGTTGCTTCAATATCGTAATAACTCAGCGATGATGTCAACTCATTATATAACTAGCAGTTTGATTCGCAATTAATGCTTGCCATTGTTTTTTGTGAGCTCATTGTTGACTAAAACAGAGTTGAATGTCAGACTAACAGAAAATAGATCCAGTCAAACTGGAACCTCGAAATAAAGAATGTTTACTAGAAAAATGTTTCTGACTTTTCTTGGCATCGATGTAAAAACGGCATTCTTATCTTTTTCAAGGTACACAAATATGACAAATTTTCTTGAAGATACTATTTTTCGCCCTGTTTGGTAGAAAAGCTTCAGACCTGTTGGAACAATCGATCTTCTTATCTACAGTGCAGTCAATATCAGTTAGACTTGTAGAATATATTTTATTTAAATTAGAAGAAAAGTTAGATATAATGATATAGTTTTTAGTTATTGTCACATGAAGCATGCTATTATGCGCAATTTTATTTTATAACTTACTTCTTTTCATTTCTTTTAGCTCAACCGGCCGTTGTCTCCATAGCTCCATCTGCTTTAGTTGATGAATCTCGTCAGGCTGCTTCATGTGATCGACTATTTGTTTTTGAAAAAGGTTGGTGATATTTTTAAGTTTTAATAACAGAAATGGATATCCCCATCTGTCTCCCTTTGACTTTACATAACTTAGAATTTGATTGCTAAGCCCATATAGTGCTGTGTTACTTTTGACGTTTACCAAATGTGTGAGAATTGTTTGCCTACTCTGAAAAAAAAGGAGGTTTGCAGAACCCCTCAAAAAGGTTCTGTAGATTTCTAAAAGCATCCAAATGTGTCCAAAGTCTCAAAAAACGGATCAAAAATTCGACAGAACCTTTTGAGGGTTCTGTCTTTTACCCAGTAGCAGAACCATCTCTTACAGAACCTTTTTTTAGGTTCTGTACAGCAAAAAAAGGTTCCGTGAGAAAATACGAAACCT